CGGCGGCTAGCGACATCTCTGCAATGCAAAAGGAGCTAGAGGACACTGGAGGCAATATTTTCAGAAGAGATTAAATATATTAATAAGTTTGAAAGATAAGTGTACGATTTCACTATTTTCCCAGAAGTATTTTTCTTGTGGCTCCAAAACTCTGGCCCGCCTGAGTGGCGCCCTTGTTACTACCCGCTTGTAGCCCGATAAGACCTTCACCAGCCCTTAATTGTTCTTCGGTAAACGCTCGCTTGTTCTCCTCCGCGGGTCTTGGCCCAAGCCAGGGTCCACGCCATTCCGGATGACGGTACGCCTGTATAAAACGGTAAAAATCATGCGTGACGAAATGGTACGTAAATCCGTGCCCGGCCATTTATGGCCGTGAAGGCTCGGGGAACAGCCAAGCAGTAACGTAAGCAGCGTTGTTTGGGTGATGCCGATGAAAAAAACTGATCGAACCTGAAGCGTGTACTCGGCCCGGTATAACGGGGCCTATAATATGTTATTTTAGATCGAGCGAGCTTTCGGCATCAGATAGCTGAGCATGAGTAGTTTAGAAATATGGTCATTGTAAAAAAAAAAATAAAAAAAAAATCACACCCATAAAAATACAAAGAAATGCACGATTGAAATCAAATGAAAATATCCTTTAGAGAAATACTTACGGTTCGGCCAATAGCGAAAATCGTATTTGTTACTTGGGCAATGTTTTTGCGCTCCATCAGATCTACCGCTTGAAAGAGATCGACGTCCGGGACTCCGTACTTAATGCAGGCTTTTTGAAATCTATAGAAATTACGTATAGATTATGCCATGAAAATAATTGGGAGGGAATATTTAGAAAAAGAAAAAAGTGTGTCCGTGCATAGGGTGTTTTCCCGTTTACACTCCTAGTACTTCTAGAGTAAGGCCATTATTAAATTAAGGACGTTTGCAGTAAGAACGAAACAAAGAATCTTTCGATGTATTTAATCGTGATCGCCGCGAAGGACATAGCTCCTGTGCGCGACTGATACCCTGGGCTGTATCGTGAGACGACGAGGCGCTCTCATTGTCTTGTTAGTAATTAGCGAGTAGAGTAGTTGTACCAATAAAGTCGTCTGATCTTGACGATTGCAACGTTCAATCTTGTATCGACTGTTGCGCACTTTAATTTTCACTGAAATTCTTTTCTTCCACGTAGGGAATGAGAAATGTCAGATATTGGTGTAAATACGAAAAGAGCGCAACGGCGACGCCTGGAATGTTTGCACGAAGATGATACGCTGCGTGTCCTGGTCGACGATTAGGGCTACAGAAGTGCTCTGTGCTCCGAGCGAAGCTCCGCGGTGACGAACGCGCGTGCGCGTGTGTCGTTTAGCCTGGCTATCCGAATACTTTCTACCGCTGATGGTTCCCTGATGCACGACGAGTCTGACGCATATGAGCACCGGGAAGAGAGCAGCGCAGCGCAGCGCATCGCGGAATGCCTCATAACTAATTGTGAGATACAGTTGCCACCATAGGTCGGCCACGCTTCAAGCAGCATATTGCTAGATAAGTAGACTTACTGATTGAGGTTGTCCATCATCTTGTAGTCGCCACCGGAGGTGTTGATTTTTGAAATCAGTCCAGCCTGAAGTTTGTTCATGAGCTTGCATAGGAGTACGCCATCCCTGAGTGCATCTTCGTAGCTGACATCTGTTAAAAGTAAAAACGAAAAATAGAATATTGTTAACTGTCGCCAACTATTTGCTAAAGAATCAGCTGTCCTTTGCGCGTCTTTCCAATGATTAGGAAAAATACGAGTAACCTTCTAGTTTTCTAGCGGACGTCAAGCGGACGTCAAGCGGACGTCAAGTGGGCGCGCGTCGTGTGTTTAAAAGAAATGAACAATTAAATGGAAGAAAATAATTGAGAGTGGCGTAGTACACTCTAACCTGACTGTCAGAAGAATAACATCTTTTCACTCGTTAGGGAATAATTTGCCGACGAGAGGTAAACGTAAGAAAGAGTGTGTTGTGTAGTGTGTGCACCCGGCATGAATTCTATAATAACTTACGGGCGGACTAATTATTCTAAGTTCATTTAGTTTTCGGCATCTAGAAATATTAAATACTTCCGGCAGTGGCAGCAGAGAATCCTACGAGAAATACGCGGTGAGGCCTTCTTGCGACATATTCGCTGAAGGAGCTTTGCGGCGCAGGTACAAATTGTGAAATGTAATTAATTTTTTTTTTTTATTTTACGAGAAATTATTGCTTTTTCATTGATCCCGTTCTACAGAAGCGTGTAGCGACCCCACAGGAAAATAATAAGAGATTCTTCGATAATGGATCAAATTACACGAAAGGTCTATTGTCACGGCGAAGCCTGCATTGCTGCCCATTGCTGCCCATTGCTGCCCATTGCTGCCGGCGGCTCTTGACGGTGCCTTCCGGACATGGAATATGTGGAATTTATTGCCTTCCGTGACAGTGAGAATGCAGATATTGACACGCGGCGGCGCAGTGCAAAAGTTTGTAGGCATAAGAGCCCGTGGATGCGGGACCACGGTGATGGATACATTCCTGATAGCATTCAAATTCCACGAGATGTCGTAAATACGACAAGTCGACGGAAAATCGATAACGCGACTTACCATTACGGGAGACTTCCGGTTGGAAAAACGAGAAGGGCAGATCTTGAGACAAAAATTGAATAAGAGAAAAAAGCCTGAGAATAATCGATATACTAGCTGCTCGTGCGCTCCTCCTTGGAAATGTCTTAAGCAGAGCCCAGGGGATACTAGCCTGATACCTCAGCCGTATCTTCGCAACTTTTTCAAATATATAACGCGACGGATTTTAACGCATGCACAGCCGAACACGCGTGTCACACGCATCGTGCGCAATCCTATTCTCGGTGAGAGATTTTAAAAAATCTTTGCGTGCATATCAGTATATATACATATACATATGTATATACAACATGATAATGTAATATGTACCTGTTAAGGTAGACCTATTACATATATCGACGATTGGCAGTAGCTTCTGCAGGTGATGATATCCTGTTCGGCTGACATGTCATCCCCGTCACGTTTCAAAATTTTGACACGAAATCAATACTGCAGAGTTAATGCTGTTAGCTCCGTCGTCTTATTCAAAGACCCAGATGAACATTCGTAACTGCGAATCGCATCATTTTTATATTTTATTTGTGAAAGCAATGATTTGTGTGACGTTCCTACACGCGACATGTATGTATACATGAGTGCTAAAAGTCAGTTGCACGAGTATCTCTCTTTTTGTTGATATTGATTATACGTCAGTCTCTTGTCATAAAGGCGTCAAAGACACGGTTGACACCAGGATAGCATCCGCTCGTTCAATTTACGAGTTAGTACTTTAGCAGGAGCAACAGGTGCAGAGGCAGTAGGGATGCGCAGTTGCGCAGTTGCACACTTGTTGTATTCTTGCATCTAGTAGATCTACTGCCGTCCGTTCGTCCGTTAATTAACTGTTTTATCAGTTAGCCGCGAAACGTCGCGTGTCCATTAAACATTGTATTCGACAATTGGTCAGATATAATGGAGTCCCCCCGAATACATCTGGTACTACAATCTGATACTGGCTGCGGATAAAGAGATATCTTTACGTTTACGAATATAAGAAATAATAAGAAATGATCGAACAGTCGGTCAATGTTATATTATGCACTGTTCTGTCGAAATGTATCGCGATGGACTGGAATAATATTGAAAAGAGCGAAAAGTGGCGGGAAGGGGCAGGAAGGGGCAGGAAGGGGTGCCCGAGGGACGTCCCTTGCGCATGCCAATGCCAACGAATGCCAATCCACGTAATTTTCTTATAAATCTTGTGCAATCCGCGTGGCTCGCCTCTTTCATTTTTCGTTTCTAATGGCTAGAACGACCCTTCGTCGTTATCGTTATCGTTATCATTGTCATTGTCATTATAGGTTATAGCTCTCGGGAAAAAATTGTCCTTCCTTTCGTTCACCCACATTCTTTGTAATGTTTTGCGACATTTGATACGTATAGATCGCAAATTCCCAATATATACGTTGTATGTATATATCGAACGAACGAAGCACGCCGAATGAACTCACTTTGTGGAAATCTTTCTCCTACGACCTGTTCGATCCATTGTTGAGCCTCGGCCTCTTGGCTGGCTTCTCGTTTCCCAGCAACCTGAAAAATGTATATAGACATTAATTAGTCGTAGAGAAATATAGTTTAATTATTCTTTGCAGCACGCATACGCGAACAAACTAGAATATGACGAAAGTGTTAACGGCAAGTCGTCGTATAAAATTATACATTTGTGTCTATAGGTATTCCCGTTTGGTCGAACAGTGCCAATCGCGTGGGCTGGGACTCGATCTACCACCAGCAGTGTTTACGGTGCCAGAAGGAAACGGAAGGAACATCATGACTCGGAATTAAGCTTTACAGTGAAATTCTTTCGAAAAAGTGCCACACCGCTCCACATGTATATGCACACATATATGTATATGCAATATTAATAGGCACATGTGTCTCTGTTCTTGCCGAATGACTTGAACGAACGGCAGGTAGACCTATGGAGATGGTATAAATTTGCCATCCGCGTTAAATATAATGGCCTCGATGAAATCATTCCCTAGGTTAGGTTATAGAATATTACGAGAAGAAATAACGTTACTGCACAGGGGGCTCATACGAGACGTCATACATATACATATGTATGTCGAAGCCGATACGCGGCTTTGGCTCAATGACGACAAGACGTTCGCGGCCCGTGTAACTTGGAAGCCTTCCGCGATCGAGCAAATCTAAACTCGGCGGTGCTCTCAGCGTGCTTCGGAATGGCGACGATCCAGGAATTACGACGCCAACGCTTATCCTTACTTACATCTGTCGAGTCTCTTCGATTCTCCGTCGACGAAATAGACTCTCGTAGATCATACGAAATCTACTTAAAAATGCGATTATATCGCGACGCGGCCCGCTCGCTCCGATCACTGTCATTCGGAATTTCGCACTGCTGGCGCGAATATGCATTTTTATTGTTATGTCAGTACGATAATAAAAAAAGAAATGCAAATGTAATAACGCGCGTGTGCGCAGAACGTAAGAAGGACCCAAGACTGCGGAGGAAGGTTGGGGCTGGAGGATGGAAGGGTGTGTGGTGAATTGTCGAGACGGTCGAGCAAGAGTGTGCAGTTTCGGGCAGGGGGAGAAGGGGGTTGCGCGGGGGTGCGGGG